GTTTGTTATAAAGGAAGACTTGGAGGATAAAAGTAAACACTATGCAAATAAGATTTTTGCAAGTTACTTTATAAATTAAAACTTCTATTGAAAAATTAGGCTTGCGCCCGGTGGCATGGCCTAGCGGCTAAAGTCCTCGCCTTGAACGTGCCGGGATCCCATATGGGCGCAGGTTCTAATACCGGCAGCTCCACTTCCCATCCAGCTCCCTGCTTGCCTGCTTGTGGCCTGGGAAAGCAGCTGAGGACGGCCCAAAGCTTTGGGACCCTGCACCCGTATGGGAGACCCAGAAGAGCTCCTGGATCCTGGCTTCGGATCGGCATAGCATCGGCCGTTGCGCTCACTTGGGGAGTAAATCACCGGATGGAAGATCTTCCTCTCTGTCTCTCCTCTCCTCTCTTTATATTTGACTTTTCAATAAAAACAAATAAATCTTAAAAAAAAAAAAAAAGAAAAATTAGGCTAAATTACGCTTGTGCTCATCAGCCTCTACTCTCTCTCCATCCCACTGAAGTCAGGTGCGCTAATGCAGTGTTCTTTGGTTAACACACTGTGACCAGGAGTGACCTCTCTTATTTCTGGGCAGAAACTTCAACAGCCACAATCTTTCCACTTCTAAGGGCTGCTCATTATTGCTGCTGCTGGTGGCTAGTCCAGGAGCTATGGTCCTGGAGGGAGGATGGTAAGAAGGAGTTAGAACCCCCAGCTCTGCAGTGTGATTCACACACAAATCTTTGCTTACAAACCACTGAAATTAGCAAATTGTTCCTTCCAACAGCATCACTTAGTCCATCTTGTTGGTCAAGAAATCTAGCAAACAGCTTGACCCAATAATTCTAAAGTTGAACTGAAAAAAATAAATAGGCAGATGTGAGTACACTCTGGAGAAGCAGAGTTGAAGCTAATACTGTCAGACATCAGGCCACGCCACAAAGCAGCGATAATGAAAAATGAGTAACAATAGTGGGTATACAAATAAAAGTCAAGGGGCCCGCACAGTGGCTTATCAGACTAATCCTCTACCTGCAGAGCTGGCACTCATATGAGCTGGCATCCAAATGGGCATCAGTTCCAGTCCCGGCTGCTTCACTTCCCATTGAGCACCCTTGCTAACGGTCTGGGAAAGCAGCGGAGACTGGCTCAAAGTGTTGGGCCTCTGCACTTACGTGGGTAACCCAGAAGAAGCTCCTGGCTCCTAGCTTTGGACTGGCCCAGTTTTTGCTATTACAGCTATTTGGAAACAAATTACTTTTTAAAACTGGGGGACTGACAGCTTTCCTAGACAGACCGGTCTTGCCCCCATGGCTTTGCTCTCTCAGCTCAGGGTCAGCTCATGTGGCCTTCCAGGCCACCACCCCGGTGGTGGGTGGAGTGCCCTCCCTTCAGCTCACCTTCTGCTTACCAGCTCCAAGCCAGGCTCACTTTGAGCACTGGGCCTTTCCCAGGAGGATCTTGCCCTTGACACATGAGTCTCCCTAACTACCACCCCCTTCTATGGCGTACCCCACACACCCCACATGCTCATTCACAGTGCTGTGACTGCCTACCCCTGAGGAACATGTCTTATCTGCCTGGGTCATGCAGAGTGTGGCTAATCTCTCACCAACATGAACACACCTTCAAGAACTTGATAGCAATAAATCAACACCTAACACATGCTGATTGTTCTAGACAGTAAACACTTAGCTGTTTAACATGCCCACATCTAACTGTAGCCCTCACTACTGTAGTGCAAGAATCTGGAATGAATGGGAATGAAGCACAGCTTCACAGTCCGTTGTTGGCAGGACTGGGGTATGGCACGTACGGCCTGCCTCCTGTTCGGGGGTCCCGTGGGGCACTTCCCATGCATCAAACTGCTAAACCTCTGTTTCTTTGATTTCTGGATTCTTCTGACAAGGCCTCCCTGTTGTAGCCCACAGAACAGCACTGGGTGGGGGGAGTTGGAGGCCCTGGGCCCCACATATGCAGGGACTCCACCAGCCTGGAGGTGATCCTGGAGAGTGCAGCAACCAGATCCAGGACCCTAGGTCAGCTCTTCCACTTACTGGTTCTACGCCCTTGCTCTTAGCACTCTGTATCAGATTTCTTTTTTTAATCAGAATTTTATCATTTCATGGGATGCTGCAGAGATCAAAGAGAAGCTGTCTATGTGAGGCTGCAGCACTACAGTTGGCACATACTTGGCGCCCTTGCTGGCATTCCTGATCCTGTGGACACAGTGTCCCGATCGATGGTACTCTCCAGTGTCTGCCCAGGTTGCCAGTCAGGTCATGTCTTCCTAACCTCTGCTTGTACAGATGGACCTTTAACACCCAAGGACAGGACTTTATAATTGATTCTTACTTTTTTTATTCATGTTAGATTTTGCCTGTTTCTGCTTTTTGGGTTCAATTTTATCTACCACACACTCACCATTCCCCCTATGCCTATAAATCTATACATTTATTAACCTATGTCTTCAATCCAATGACCAAACTGTTGAACAGAACAGTCTGTGAAATGGGTCTTAACGTATGTGAGCACAAAATAGGAAACAGACTCAGAGTGCCTAGCGCTGTCTGGCACAAAGTGAACAGGGCAAAGCAGGGCTCACTAATCCAAGCCCTTCAGACCAGACTACATCCATCTCCACCTGCAAATCCATCAAGAGCAGTGTCCAGACTGCAAAAGACCTGTGATACAGTGCTAGGGACACCCCAACCTGTATGTTTTCTCAGAACAGCCCAATGTGACCCATATGTAATCTTGCTATGATACTGGCAGTGAGCAACACTGCCATTTTGAGCAAATGTTGTGTGAAAACACACGATGAAACAAAAAACCCCATGGCTGTGCAGAATGCTGAGCCGGTACTGCAGGCTGGGTCCAGATCACAGTGCTGTGTGCAGAAGAAACCGTCATACCGCTTCAACTCCATTAAGAGCACCTCTTTGGCTCCAGCTGGGGTCCTGCCCTGCTGCCTCCCTTGTGTTCTAGCAGGAGCCCCCAGTAAGCTCTGTGTGGCACACTGACCTCTTACCAGTTTCAACTTGCCAACGAGCTGAAGAACTTAAGGTCAGTAACAGAAGCACAAAACACATGCTCATTTCCCTCCCTATGATCTTCCCTTATTTGCACTTGCAGACAGCGCCCTCCCACATCACCAGTAATAGTGTAAACACGAATGAATTTGCTGGAGGACAATCTGTACAAATGTACAAGAGAAATATTGAGTCTGGGGCCAGCATGGTGGCACCAGTTTGTGTCCTGGATGTCCTTACTTCTAACCGACCTCCCTGCTAAAGTGTCAGGGAGAACAGTATAAGATGACCCATGTTCTTGGGCCCCCTACACCTGCATGGGAGACCCAGGAGAAGCTCCTGGTTCCTGTTTTCGACCCTGCTCAGCCTTGGCTTATTGTGGCCAACTGGGGAGTGAACCAGCAAATGAAGGAACTCTCTATAATTCTGGCTTTTAATAAATAAATAAATAAGTAAATGAATGAATGTTTTAAAAAAGTATTGACTCTGTAATTCTACTGGAACTTTACCACAAAGAAGTCATTAAAGGGGAGAAGAAAAATTTTCTATACAGAAGATATTTATAGAATCATTATTTAAAATGCTGAAAACTAAATAACCTCAATGCCCTACACAACGGATAGGTTAAATGAACTATAATAGAGCAGTAATAGCAATGTGCCTCCTGAAAGGAAGAAATAATGAGAGAAATTTTATCTTATTATAAATAAGTCACCATAGATAGACACACTGTAAGTGCAACTAAATAAAAACTATGCACACATTGATAAAGAATGGGAGGATAAAGAAACAGAAAGTTAGGTAAAATTATAAAGATTATACTTGCAAAAAGTTCACAGAGAAATGTATATTGTGGAAAAACTGCACAGAGTTCAAAAGCTTCCTGGAACAAACTTCTTTTCTAACTTCATTTTCCTGTTAACTTTTGGATGTATCCTTATAAATATCTTTTGTTTTTCTCACTAAAGCGTATCACAAATTATCTGGTTGTAAACATACGTGCTCCCACAGATACAATTATGAACTGTTTGCTCTCGTGTGGACCTACAGTCTGAAGGGAGATGGTAACTAAGAGTCAAGAATGAGCAGAGCAGACCCAGAGCCTCAGCTAGCACAGGACTCAGTGGAAGTCAACAAGCGTTCATCTCAATACGGGACTCATTTTCTACCTGCAAGGCATTAGGAAATCCAGAGGGAGGCTGATGTGCCAGGTTGCGTCCCCCTGACGTCCATGTGTTTCATTGGGCCCTTGCCTGCCAGTCCCAGAGTCCAGAGGAATGCGTGTCAGTCAGGGTGGCACGGTGGTAAAGGGTACAATCTGCTGCCTGATCTCCTTGGCTGTCGGTTACTGCTTACCAGCCAGGGCACCTTGGGCAAGACTGTCTGTGAGTTTGTTTCCACATCTATTTGCTGGAGAATGGTTGCAGAGTCTATCTCAAAAGTTGATATGAGGACCTGGCGCGGTAGCACCTAAAGTTGTTGCCTTGCACATGCCAGGATCCCAGATGGCACCAGTTTGTATCCCAGCCACCCTGCTTCCCATCCAGCTCCCTGCTTGTGGCCTGAGAAAGCAGTCAAGGAGGCCCGAAGCCTTGGGATCCTGCACCCATGTAGGAGGCCTGGAAGAAGCTTCTGCCTCCTGGCTCCTGGTTTTGGATCGGCACAGCTCTAGCAGTTGTGGCCGCTTGGGGAGTGAATTAGCAAATGGAAGATATTCCTCTCTGTCTCTCCTTCTCTCTGTATATCTGACTTCCCAATAAAAATAAGTCTTAAAAAAAAAAAAGTTGACATGAATTATCCATTATACATGCCCAGCACAAGTTGGCTGCTGGCTGTTGTGTGTCCTACCGTCTCTGGGAAATGGGCATGAATTCCAAACTTAAAAAAAAAAAAAAAGAGGTAGAAGCAGAAGCAGTTTCTCACTTGCCGTGAAAACAGACAAAGGGGAACCTCCCCTTGGCCACACCCTGTGCTTACCATAGGTGAACATGCGTGGCGAGGTCAGTTCAATGTTAGGCAGGGCACCCAGGTGGTTCAGCACAGCACACCTATAGCCATTTTTCTGGGCATAATCAACAAAGGTTCGGATGTACTGCTTCTCGCTGTGATTGGCAATCCCAGGGCAGATGACCATGGTGACATCATCTGCAGGGTGGAAACAGACAGCTGTAGGTATACAGTAAAAGCGACTTCACAAATGAACACAATTATATTTTGCTGGCTTAGAAAGAAGGGGGAACAAATTTAACATACAACTTTTGACTTTCCCTGCAAAAGAGGATCCTTCACTTTGAGTCTAAGCTCTCAATTTCAGTGCTTCTTGAACTATTTACGGTGAAGGACTGGCTTAAAAAATGTACAACCTGTTATTGACAGATATTTTTGAAAAACATCAAAAAAACGACTAGAAAATATTTTTATATATACTCTTTAACTTTTTATTCCTGTATTTAACAATAAAAAAAATCCCTCTGTCAAATTGCTATACAAGTTTCCAAGTGTTTTTCCTAATTTCTGTCTGAATGAATGGAAAAATAAAAAGTAGTATTTTCATAGATCTTGTCAACCCTTCAAGTTATGTTCAGTTATTTATTCTGTAGACATTTCTGTGCTTATGCAAAACAATACACAATGGGTCTTCTCAGTTTGTGGATTATACAGACAAGTATGAGCAGTAGGCTGGAATGGCAGAAGACTGAACATACCCTAAAGGTCTAGAAATAGGGGTCTGTTTTAGTGAATTATTACAAAGCCAAGTGGTGAAGGATTGTGTACTCCTTAGAAATAATGAGAATTTTTATATAAATTGATATGGCAAACTCCCCAATATATAATAAATGGAAAAAAGTTTTAATGATTCTAATGTTCCCTCAAGTTAAGATAAAAAAATAAATTATCTTAATAGAGGAAATATACATGTATAACCTTCATAAAGAATAATTCTAATTCTTACAATCTTGCCTAAAACTTTACGACAAAGAAAGTTCAGCATAGAATTAAAACAAGCTATATGCCTAAGAGAAGGATGGTTAAATTGTGGTCTGACATTAAGGAGTAAGAAGTAATAATTAAAATTCTGGTTTTAAAGACTTTTGGATTTCCAATGACACACAGAAGCATAATACAATGTAGAATAATACAAATTTTGGAAAAAATTGACTGAAACCAATAGAAAATGAAATAAGGCATTAACAACGGTATGCTAGGTGGTAAGATCACGAGTGATTTAAATATTTTGTTTAATTTTTTTATTTGTATAAGATGAACAAATTTTATATAAACAGATATAAGAGCTTTAATACTTCCTACTTTACCCCTTCCCTTCTTTCCTATTTTTCCTTTTAATGTTTACATGACATTTTTTCAGTTTCAAAAAAATAATCACAAGCATAATCCTATACTAAATAAATTACCCAACAAGTAGTAACTACTGGTCCTCAGGAGTATTGACAAGGGCGGTGAACAGTAAGCAAAGCTCAAAGTGTCAAGTTCACTCATCCATAACTTTTTTTGTACTCCATATTAATGAACAGACTAGGGAAAATATAAGTTTGTCTTTCTGGAACTGTTTTATTTCGCTAAGCATTAATGGTTTGCAGTTGTGTCCTCTTTGTTGTAAATGATAAGATTTCATTCTCTTATTCAGCTGAATATTATTCCACACTTGCTTTATCCAGTCATCCTCTGCTGGACATCTGGGTTGATTCCCTATCTTAGCTGCTGTGAACTAAGCTGCAATACAAATTCATGCAAAACATGGGGGTAAAATAACTTTGATATGCTGATTTCATTTCATTTGCATATATTTCCAGGTGTAGGATGGCTGGGTCATTTGGCAAATCTATTTTCAGATCTTTGAGGAATCTCCATACTGCCTTCCATAATGGTTGTGCTAGTTTATATTGCCATCAACAGTGGATTAGCATACCTTTTCTCACACATCCTTACCAGCATCGACTGGTTTTGGATTTCTGTATGCTAGCCATTCTAACTGGGGTGAGGTGAAACCTTAGTTTGTTTTTTATTTACATTTCCCTGCAGTGATCCTGAACATTTTTCATGTGCCTGTTTGCCATTTGGATTTTATCCCATGAAAAATGCCTGTTCATGTCCTTTGGAATGTTTTATTGTTGCTGAATTTCTTAAGTTCTTTATAGATTCAGGATATTATTCCTTTTCAGTTGCATAGTTTGCAAGTATTTCCTTCCATTTCATCAGTTACCTCCTTGTTTTGTTAATGGTGTCCTTTGCAATGCACAAGATTCTTAGTTTGATGCAATATTATTTGGCTTTTATCATCTGTGCTTCTGAGATTTTTCTGAAGAGTCGTTGCTCATGTCAATGTCTCACAGGGTTTCCCTAGTAATTTGATAATATCAGATCACATATTTAAATCCTTGATCTATTTAAAGTTGATTTATGAATAAGCTTTAAAGTCTAATTTTCTCCCTAAAAATATTTCTGTAGTATCTATGTTTCCTAAAATGAGAACTTTTATACTTTAAAAAAAAATCATGAAAGAAAAAAGAATTGTTTTTCTTAGAACCTTTTTGGGGGAAAGTAAATGGGGAAGTCTTGGAAAAAATCCTTAAGTCTATGGAAAATGTAGCATAAATGATGCTTATTTTGGTACCAAAAATGTTTTGAAATCTAGGCATAATGTTTTCCCCATCATGTTACTTCCCATGAACTTTTTGAATACTCAGTGTATTGCCTCTCACACAATCACTTTCGTCAATCCTGTCAAGGACAGGGTTGTATAAAGGAACATAACTAGATGAGGAATCGGTTTTGCCCTTTTTTTTTGGAACATTTTACCATAATCCTGGTAGGATGAACAAACTGTTCAAACTAAATGTTGTGTTTTAAAGGTAAGAAAAAGTAAAAACACCAGAAACAAGAGAAAGAACATATTTAGCTGGATATGGCAGAGGAATAAATATTTGAAAGACAAGATTTTTAAACACAAAACGAACTCCTAACCTATTTATTTATCCATTCCTTCTGTGACTGTTTCCTGGAAGGTGACTGTTCTGGGGGCTCTTAGGATTCTAGCAGATAGATAAACAACTGCACATTCAAATATGGAAAGTGGCCAGCTCCCTGAGGACCCAAGGCAGGAGCGCGGCTCTATTGGGAAGGAAAATCTAGGTAATCAGGGGAGTCCAGGACTCCCTCCGGGGAAGTGACATCTGAGCCGAGACCTGAATGAGGAGGAGCAGGCTGCTAAGTTCCAGCGAGAATCCTGCCAGGCCGAGGGAACCTAAAACTTTATCACCAGTTTACTCAGAGGTTCTGGTTACTTTAAATCACTGAATTAAAATTGGTTTACTAGATTTTACCCATAAGTCATTACTGAACTCCTATGGAAAACCAAGGTGCCTTTAAACAAACAACAACAAACAAGACACATTTTCTTGTAGTAGGAATAGAAGTCAAAAGGATTCTGGAATGTAATTCCACTTCTTCCAAAGTTCTTGTTATGAAGTACTTTATGAAAGTTCTTGTACAGGCAGTACAAAACAACCTCCAACTCAAGCAGCAATTGAAATCGAAACTGTTTCTTAGAGATCCGTACCCGGACTTCTGTATGATAAATATGGTGTTAAAAGGTCTTTTTTTTTGGTGTGGGGGGGTGTTCAGGACATCGAAGTAGAGGGTACTGAAAACTTCTGTTAACTATTATTCAACAAGGAAAACCAACACACACACCGCAGAAGCCTCAGCATCTCTGCCAGTGCCATGGGGTTAACGAAGCACCAGGCTCACAGGGATGCGGTGAGTGAGGATTCAAGGAAGTAAGAGCAGGTTTAAAATACACAGACATCAACTGAAAGCTCGGTGGGGGGGGGGGGGGCCTGGACTCCAAGCTCTCACCCATGCCTGCTCACAGTGCTTGTTAATCACAACGAGCTCACAGAACTATGTGATGGTTGCTGCAGACAAGGGCAGAGCTTGCTTCAAACCCGGTACGTCTCTCTTACTGGAACCTGGAAAGAGCACAAATCCAGCAACCCCCAGAGGCAACAGGATCACTGCTGTACCAAAGACGGACACCAGCCAGTATTCCCTGCCTGATAAGACCAAAGCGACACCCGCTTCCGCTTACATGTCAAGGGTGGTTTAAAACCTCCTGCATGTTTTTTTTTTTTTTCCTCGTCTTTCCTGCTCCTCTGTAGCTCCCTTCTCCATGTCTGTCTTTTCACTACATGGCAAAGAAAGACCTGGGGACGGAGTTTCTTTGAATAAAAGCCATCTATCTTCTTTTCTGTACTCAGCTGATGCGTTCCTTCATGTGTGGTCGGTGAATCTAACACTATCCAGTGATGCTTTCTAAAGAGGTTAAAATAGTGCTGGCAAGCACACGTTGGAGTTAATCCTTGCCAGCTGCTCCTGCGGGGTGCATCTCAGCTGACTTCCCAGAAGCCCAGACGCAAAGGGGCAGTTGGTGGCAGGAGCATTTCACGGCACATGCCACACTAGCTCACCTCCAACGCAGTGCTCAGCCAAGGGCTCAAAGAGGTCGAAAGTTGAAGTGGCTCCATCAGACATGGTGATGAACTTCCGGTGCCCGTAGGGGTGTGGTGACCTCACCCTGCCCATCTTCCCATACAAGGCCGTCTGGATGTGTCCACTCTTCCCCCAGATCAATGGTGGAATGTACCTAGGAAGGAAGTAGAGGTTAATTTTCCCTAAAATTCCTCCAAAAAATGCTCTGAAACAACAAAGTTTAAGCAAAAGCCCTTCAACTTCATAAACTTTTGTCCTGACAAATTCTGTACACTAAGCATAAACATGAGGGTTCTTATTTCTTTTCTTTCTTTTTTTTTTTTTTTACTGGTCTTACATCCATGCCAGGACTCACCCCTTTTGCATTAATACATCCTGCATCCAATTAACTTCAGAACTCAACCAGGTCATGCTTACATCTCTATTTCAAATTTTAGATATTAAGTGATTCCACATTGATTATTTCCACACTACAGAACAGAAAGAAGTACTACACAGTGAATATAGTCTAACTTGACAGGGCTAACCTTGAACTAACGTATATGAAACAGCACTATGCACTTGCTAAAGTCTCACTTATTTCCCTTGCCCTAATAAGACAGGCCACAGCTTTAGTCATCACAGCACTGACCACACCTGCTGTTTGCAGCACAGCAGCAAGGCCTATGAACTCTTGCAGGAGCCTGAGGGCAGGCAGGGAGGAGCAGCCCTGAAACTCCGGGAGAGCATGCCGGAAGGACAGAGCCGGGGAAACGCTTATTGGATTAACAAAGGATAAAGGCTTGATAGCTTAAGCAAGACAGGATGCCTCCCAAACAACTGTCCTTTGTGAACATGTACAGTGGCTCTTGGCCTGGATAGAAAATGCAAAAATCACAAACTAGCCCAAGAAAGTACTTCAAGCTGCAACTGAGAAATGACTCTGGCTCACGAACACAGAACAAGATGAATGCCTTTATTGAAACTATTGGGATTTCTCTCTCATGGCCTTTCACTCAAGCTTGATGGCTGCAGGAGCTTCATTTTACGTAAATTAGAGGCATAAACTACAATTACAGACATGACATCAATCTTTCATCCCTCTATGATTGTTTCACAGTGGTGTTTTAATACTAATTTGCCTCGGTCTATCGACTAATTCATCCCCATAACTGCTCCAGAACCAGATGATTTGAGAAATTCTTTTAAAAATTTACTGTGTGTGTGTGTGTGTGTACTTAGATAAATCTACACAAAGAGAAGTACATCAAGCCAGTTCCTGGACAAGCTTCCTCTTTGGCATTGAGAAGGGACACGAGAGGCCCTAAGTGGACAGTGAGTTACGGGGGAAAAAAGGGCTGGGGGATTTTTCTATTTTCTGTCTCTAGCCCTGCATTCTAACTCCACCTCCCCTTACAGGTCAATCCAGTACACCCATTTTCTCATGATGCACCTCAGTCTCCTACTTGATGGGGGAGAAGGTGCCACAAAAGCCCCACGTGGAGATGCCATGAAACAATTCCCAGAAAAACCTCACACGCATTAAACCCTGCCCAAGCTCCACCCAGCTCAGTTCAGGCAGCCCCTCCCATAATGGGCACCGGTGGCTGGCAACCTTGCCCTTTTGAGCCTTTCTGCGTGCTCTCCTCACACGCAGGCCTTTCTGGAGCTTTCTTGGCAAGCTTTTCTCCATAAGCATTTGCCCGCACTCACACCTGAATGTACTCACTTGCTCACTTTAAATAAATCCTGCTCTCATTACTGCAATTTATGCTTCTGGTCTGAATTGTTATTTCATGCAGGGGAATGGAAACTGGGGAACACATTCAATCTCTATATAACAGAGGGAAGAGTATTTTAAAATAGCGGGACCTGAAACTGCTCACTGGCATTCTACCGCAGGCTCAAATACCTGCAGAAGCTGTAGCATTTGGAGAACAGACCAAAGAATTTCTAGCAATTAAGTGGATAAAGCCAGCAAGAGAAAGCATGCTTATAAAAGCAGTATCAATTGGGGCCTGACACTAGCCTAGTGGTTAAAGTCCTTGCCTTGCATGTGACGGGAGCCCATATAGGTGCCGGTTCTAATCCCAGCTACTCCACTTCCCATCCAGCTCTCTACTTTTGGCCTGGGAAAGCAGTCAAGGACAGCCCAAAGCCTTGGGACCCTTGCAACCATGTGGGAGACCCAGAAGCCACTCCTGGCTCCTGGCTTTGGCATCAGTTCAGCTCCAGCCGTTGTGGCTGCTTGGGGAGCAAATCAACGGATGGAAGATTGTCCTCTTTGTCTCTCTTCCTCTCTGTATATCAGATTTCCCAATAAAAATAAATCTTAAAAAAAAAAAAAAGAACCAAGACAGTGAACTTTTACAAAAAAAAAAAGACAGGGACTGGCACTGTGGCATAGTGGGTAAAGCCACAGCCTTGGTGCCAATATCTCATGTGGGTGCTAGAGATCTGGCTGCTCCATTCTAAATCCAGCTCTCTGTTAATGTGCCTAGGAGAGCAGTGAAGGATGGCTTAGGTTTTTGGTCCCTTGTATCCACTTGGGAGATCTGGAAGAAGCTCCAGACTCTTGACTTTGGGATGACCCAGTCCTGACTGCTGAGACCATTTGGGGAGTGAACCAGTGGATGGAGGTCATCTCTCTTTCTCTATGTTTCTTCCTCTCTCTGTATAAATCTGACTTTTAAAAAAAAATCTTGGGCCCGGCGCGGTGGCACAAGTGGTTAAAAGTCCTCGCCTTGCACACCCGGGATCCCATATGGGCGCCGGTTCTAATCCCGGCAGCCCCGCTTCCCTTCCAGCTCCCTGCCTGTGGCCTGGGAAAGCAGTTGAGGACGGCCCAAAGCTTTGGGACCCTACACCCGTGTGGGAGACCCGGAAGAGTCTCCTGGCTTCGGATCGGCATAGCATCGGCCCGTTGTGCTCACTTGGGGAGTGAATCATCGGACGGAAGATCTTCCTCTCTGTCTCTCCTCTCTGTATATCCACCTTTCCAATAAAAAAAAATAAAAATAAATCTTTAAAAAAAAATCTTAAAAAATATGGGTGTGGGTGTTTGTACAGTGGCTGGGATGCCTTATCTCCCATCAGAGTGTCTGAACTCAATGTCCACCTTCGAATCCTGACTCCAGCTTCCTGCTGATGCAGATCCTGGGAGACAACAGAGATGGCTCAAGTGACTAAGTTCTTGCCACCCATGCTGGGGTTGAGTCCCAGGATCCTGGCTCCAGCCATCGTGGCACTTGGAGAGTGAACCAGCAGATAGGATCTCTCCTTTTTCTCCCTCTCTCAAAAAATGTACACAAAAAGATTTAAAAAAAAATTTGTACCATAATAATGTGAATCCAGCTATTGACATTTGGTTCCTAACCCCAGACTCAGACTTGGGTAATTGTGTGTGTGTATATATTTTAGGAAGTAACTGACTCAGAATTACCTGGGACTTTCTCAGCTCAACATTATTTCAGTTGCATATAGGGAAACTATCACATTCTTTAATTTTTGGATGATACCATTGATGAAAACTGATAAAACACTATTTCTAATTTAACTTCATAAACATACATTCATCTGGGTTTAAAACTGAATTTTAGTGCTGATTGCTGTTTTCATTGTATGATTTTGGTTATATGATTATCTACAGATCCTCAAGAAAAAAAATAGAAAATTCAACAGAAAATGTTTCTGGTCACAAGGTTGAGGTCAGGGAGGAAATATGAACTCAAACAACAGAATATTTTAAATTTATATATAAACACTGAGATGCTGTTACAATGGTGCAAAGGGCAATGGGATTTATTCCAATTACCCAAGTGGGGACATGTCTGAAAAAAAATCTCTGTCCATCAGGAGCTAGACACCCCTCCCTGTGCATGTAGGCTAGCCTGTGACCTGTTGGGTTGGTGGAATGCGGTAGAGGAATTGTTATGCAGATCCAGGCCTGGCTCTTAAAGAGACCAGACAGATTTTCCCTGGACACTGACCACTAGGTTAGAAGCAGGAGGATGGGGAATGGCATTGGGCATGAGAGCTATGTACATTTTTTTTTTAAAGATTTATTTTTATTATTTTTTTTGTATTGGAAAGGCGGATATACAGAGAGGAGAGACAGAGAGGAAGATCTTCCATCCGATGATTCACTCCCCAAGTGAGCGCAACGGTCGATGCTATGCCGATCCCAAGCCAGGAGCCTCTTCTGGGCCTCCCACGCGGGTGCAGGGTCCCAAAGCTTTGGGCTGTCCTCGACTGCTGTCCCGGGCCACAGGCAGGGAGCTGGAAGCGGGGCTATGTACATTTTAAACTTCACAGGCCCTGCAAAAAGGCCTTCTAAAAAATGGATTAGTTTACATGACTAAACCTAATGATGCATAGGTGTGCCTGTCTTCCTCATCCTCATCAGTAACTGGTACTATCAACTTCTGAGATTCTGGCCACCTTAAGGGTGAAAATGGGCATCCCGATTCATATTGTGTTTGTTTCTTAAGGATGAGCCAATCCACAGCTAAAAAAAAAAGGTTTCTGGTCTGAATTGCATTTCCCCAACTCACACATCTATTTGTCATTAGTACTTTTTTTTTGTGAATTGTCTGTTTACACTCTTGTCTATTTTTATTACATGTCATGTTTTTCCTTTTAAGTATTACGTTCATTACTCTTAACATTAAGCCATTATTATGTTATAAATGCTTTATTCCAGTCTACTGCATATTTTAATTTTGTTTTATCTTGCATAATATATCTGTGGTTAAATCTGATAGTTTTAAAAATTCAAACTTTGTGTTTGTAGCATGTTTTTAAAAAGAGCTTTTCTAACAACCAATTATAAATATATTCCTCAGTGTTTCCTTTTATTACTTTCATAGAGCTTGAGAAAGAGAAAGACTGTAGTTATGGTCATAATACATGTAACAGACAAGAAACTGATCACTGATCGATTTCAAGTTTGTAGGAAAATTTAAATTAAAAAAAAACCTAATGAAGATAAAAATTAATGTGTTCTACTTTAAAAAAAAAAAAGTCATGGAATTAAATAGTCAGTAGAATTTGTTCCAGAAAATATTTTCTTAAAGGAAACCTTTGATGTCAGCATAACTCTAATGAAAATATTTGTATTCAAAATACCCTTGGATTTAGCCGCTCCCGAGTCTGGTCTCAGCAGGAGTGTAAATG